ATGGAGCTTTGATATGAAAAATGAAGAAACTTGGTCTCAGTCTATCCTCCCCTAAACAGAGAAATCCAGAATTGGTAAAATGATCTATCAGGCTTCCTTATTTCTCACCACTGATCCAAAACAGTTTTCACATAATTCAGTCTGCTAGATTCCAAGATGTGTTTGGGGAGTCATAGAAAACCAGTGAAGATATTTCCAAGAAAACAGATCATCTCAATGACATTCAGTGGACAGGTGTGTCATAGCACGGTTACAGAGGGACAGAGGAGTGGGGAAATAACAGAACCAGGAGGGTACGATCATGCCGCTCATATTCAATTTCCAGTTTTATTTTCTTAAAATGACAAGATGAAAAAATTTCTAATAAGCACCATTGAAAAACGTTGCCCGGCCAACTTGGGCACGAGCTTAAATATTATTTAAATAAATTCCATTTTTTAAAAAATACAGGACCTTTTAGAAACTTTTGACTCCAGGAAGACATTTCCTGCAATATATCCAAAATGCTTCCCATCAGCACAAATGGAATTTCTGATGGCCTTTAAAAAAAACGCTATGGGGATAATGGCTAGATAGCACCAAGAGATTGTGCAGGGTTTACAAAGTGAACACTCTGGATCTCGGGGGAGCTGGATCAGTCGCAGCTATTTTGTGTAACTTTGCACTCTGTCCATCACCAATTTGACTATGCAGAGCAATCCCATTTGACTAGCTGTGTGTAAAGAAAACCCAATCTACAATGGAAAAGCCACTAGCAGCAAGTCTATCTGATGAAACCAGTGGAGCAGACTTATTGAGTGGGTATAATGCCAAAACCAGCGCATAATGCATGAAGAAAATTATGTGTGGAAAGTATCAATGTTCAACTGTGAAAAAACTAAGACAAACAACACTGAACACAACTCTGCGGGATGTTCTCAATGCCCTTTGGTCCAGTTTTCTGCCATTTCCCCCAACGGTGGACTCAAGCATGAAAAATGACTGACGCAAGAGCTTTCTGTTTCGTTTTGATCTACGCCTGCTCTTGGGATGTTTCTGAAAGGTATTTTTAGGCGTCTCAAAGGGGAAACAAGCAAGTAAATGCAAAAGGAAAAAAATGGACCTTCAAAACGAGGGCAGGAAATCAAATCTTTACTTTAACGTCAAATTTTGGCATCAAATGCTTTGGTCATACAATACTGTCTCTGTGGTTCTGGCTGTTTAGCACTAAACACCCAGTTATAAAAGGTAGGCTTGTTGTAGGTTTATTTTTTTTTCCATTTAAGTTCTGACAAAACAGTTCACCATCTCCCTGCACAAATTTGAGAGAGAGAGAGAAAGAGAGCAAGAAAGAGAGAGGTGGCTTGCTTTTTTTTTTTGCTTGTTTTTTTTTTCTTTTTAATAATAATATGGAGTAATCTATAAGTCTACAGGAACAAAGAAATCTAGGATGGCAGCTCAGCCTTGGAATGTACATGTTTTGCAGCAAAGTTGTTGAAGAACCTTCCGTTGGCACAGATTGTTCTTTTTCACTAGCATACAGAAGCCTCCTTCGGCCCAGGACTCTTCCGTTGCTTTTCCAGGAAGTCAGCATGAGAGGGGGGGAGTTGAGGACGTGAGCAGCATGATGGACACACACGGGAGAAGGTTTTGATTGGCCAGAGAGGTAGATTGAGGGATTGGAAGAGATCATTCAGGAGTAGTCAACAAGGAGGAAATTGGGTCCACCCAAAGTGATTTCAGTCAACAGCATTGTTTTTCAAGGAGAGACATTGTAGTCCAACGGGAAATGTGATTGGTATCCATTTATGAAAGGAAAAAAGGTTAGAAAAAGAATAAATTAGCAATCAATAATAATATAAGCAAAGAATTTTTATTTTTAGAATTATCTAGAGCAGAGAGCATACAGTCATTTATACTATATTTCATTGAATCCAAGACACTTGGACTACTTAAGTACTATCACTGATACTGATACTTAAGTACTATCAAGGAAAAAAATGCGTATTAAAGGGTGACACAATATTCACTTATCAGTTAGAATTTTAATGCTTATTGAAAGTATTTGTTAAACTTATATAACAAACTGTTTTATTTCTCTGCATATGCAATAACTCTTCCTTTGAAAATTGAACAGTTTAATTTTTTGAAGCTATTTTGAACTGCACTTAAATTCAACACAAGTAGTAACCATGTGCCTAACTCAGTTGACTAGACAGCTCTGTGACTAAGTCACAGGCAATGACAACTACATCACATCAACCTGCTGGTCAGAAGCAGCTGCAAGCTGCCATGAACTATAAGATGCATCTGATTTCAGAGATGTTAAAATGTAAAAAACATATGTCTTAGAATCACTGAAATATGGCAGTTGGAAGAGAATAAATAGCACATCCCTAAATGCAACTGCCACGTGATCTGAAAAGGCTGGTGAGCCATCAACGATCTCTTTATTTAACTGACCTGAAAATGGACTCATCTCACAAATTATGGCTCCTTTTCCACTTTTGCCCACAATCCTGACACTCCACTTTTACCAAAGTGCCACTGGGCACAATTTATCCCATGCTTACAAGGCTTCATGGAAAGCAGTTAAAGCATCACAAACCTTGAAAAGCCTGGTACCAAGTGCTATGGGTGAAAACTTCAGGTCACAGTGTTATCTCCTGGGTCAGTCACTTAAAAATCTTCCTCCATTTTCAGGTTATGAACTTAGGAAAATTCTGGTCATATTCAGATACAGGGGAACCCTGTTTTTAAGGAAGGGTAAGGAGCACTTTCTGGTAACTAAAAAGGGATACTTACACGGTCCTGGGGGTGCCATCACCCCATCCTCTCACCCCAGTGTTGTGTGGTGAGAATCGGCCCTGGCCAAGAAAACCTTGAACACAGAGCCTGAGTGGGTCTGCCATCCCTGCCAGACCCGTCATACATCAGAAAAGCTATGAAGATGCAAAGTCACCTATGACGCTCCATGGTAACGAGACCATAAATCATGTTCTGTCAGTGCCATTGCGTGCTCAGTTCTTTTTGATATCTTTCTGAGATTCCTAATAGTGAGTTGTAGAATAACCATATGAAGTCAATAATAGTATTCTCCTCATTTTTTACAGATGAGGGGAGTGAGGCCCAGAGAAATTCACAGCCTGTTCAAGGTCTGGAGCCCGGATATGAATGACAGCATTCTGACTCCTGAATCTACATTCTCCCAACCACAGCACTATTCTGCCTCTTGTGAAATTTCTAGAAGAGAAGCCATTCAAAAGAAGACAAAGAATAAACCCAGGGGAATGATCTTATCAAGGAAGACTGTTCCAAATGCATACTTTCTTTTTTACTTCTGTATTTTTATACCAACCCAAAGATGCTTAGAACAACAATGGTTTAAAACAATTTCTTTCTACATCATTGAGACGTATTGCCTACATAAAGTCTAGGCACAAATTTTAGGGCCCCCTCAGCATGAATTATAATAAGAGTCAAAGTTCACAAAATGTTGGAGTTGGAATAATCTAAGTTCATTCATTTTTCAGATGGGGAAGCTGAGGCTTAGAGAAGTGAGGGAACTTGGCATTTGCCAAATTATCAGGGAGAATGGAGTAGTAGAGGTTCCCAAAGCTGGCTGCAGATTAGAAACACTTAGGAAGCTTCTAAAACTGTCCCTGCTCAGGCTGCACCCCAAGACCGATTCACTCTGAATTGGAGAAGGTGTGAGGTCCTGGCATTTTGGCTGAGAGTCACTGGTGCAAAGGAAAGAAAAATGGACCACCCTTCGGAAGCCTGAAGTTCTATACTTGGTTCTACTGTTATTTCCTAGCCTCATGGATTTAACGAAAGATTCAGATGCCATTTCATTATTATTCACATATGAAAATTATAAACAATCCAAATAATAGAGTGGCAATGAACTGTGGCATCTCCACATGAATTTTATGCTGTTATTAAAAGTGAAGTCTCTGAAGACTTTGTAAAAACATGGGATTCTGTTTATATCTAGTGCTTAGTGCCAAAAGCAGGATACAGAATTCCATGTTCATGATTTTTAAAAAATTTGGTAGAAAGTACAAATGGCAAGAGACTAGAAAATAAATACATCAAAAACTAATTGCAAAAGGCTACATGCTGTATGATTCTAATACAGTCATGCACCACAAAACATGTTTTGGTCAATGATGGACTGCATATACAACCATGGTCCCATAAGATTAGTACCATGTAGCCTAGGTGTGTAGCAGGCTGTACCATCTAGGTTTGTGAAGTACACTCTATGATATTCACATAACAATGAAATAGCCTAATGATGCATTTCTCAGAATGTATCCCCATTGTTAAGCGACACATGACTGTATAGGACATTCTGGAAAAGGTAAATCTATGGAAAAGTAAAAAAATCAGTGGCTTCCAGGGAATACAGGGGGGAAAGGATGGACAGGCAAAGCAAAGAGGAATTTTAGGGCAGTGAAACTGTTCTGTATACACTACAGTGTAATGGTGGATACACGTCTCTGTATGTTCTATGGGTTTGGACAAATGTACAACACCAAGAGGGAACCCTAAAGTACACTGTGGACCATGCATGATAATGCTGTGTCAGTGTAGGTTCATTGACTGTAACAGATGTACCACTCTGGTGCAGGATGCTGATAGTGGGGGAGGCTGTGCCAGTGTGTGGGGTCGGGGGATATACGGGAACTCTCTGCAATTTCTGCTCAATTTTGCTGTGAATCTAAAACTCTAATGTTTTAAAAAACAAAGTTTCTTAATCAAAAAAAGTTAACTGGCGCCGTCTTGGCCAGTAGGACTATGTGATTTATTTCTTCTTGCAATGAAAAATACCCAAAAAAACAAAAACCAAAACCCATTGAGGGCATAAGTTCAAGGTGAGCAAATGCCGGCAAGATATCAGGCATGTTCTATCTTATGCATGCTTGATAGTTTCTTTTTTAATTGGAAATATATTATACCTGAAAGTAGAAAGATCACACTCTGCTCAGAAGATGAAAATGAGCAGTCGTACTCACCGTCCTTGCAGATGGCTCCCATCTGACACATTCCTAAGTCTAGAAGATACCCACTGGGGCAGCTCGTACAGTTCTTGAACCCTGGACCATTGCACGTCAAACAGCTGGCGTCACATCTATGGGGAAAATGTACAATTTATCATCCTGTCACACACTGGGCACAGGAAAAGATATGTTCACTATCAACCTCTTAATGTCTTAAACTTAACTCTCCCTTTGAAGATAACACAAAAATCTTTTCTTACAGTAATTGCTAAGTTTGACAACATTAAAGAAAATCTAGCAGGTAGACAGTGGGACTTTAAAGGAGAGAGAGCGTGTCCTTGAAAGAGAAATATTACTTTAAAGGTTTTAAAGTGCTCCTGAGACAAAAAAAAAAAATAAAAGTGTCAAAGATAAGTTGGGTTAAAGCTGCAGGGCAGTGGCCTAGGTAAACGTTTGAACCTTACTTTATCACTAATAATTCTAAGCTTCGTATTATTTATGAAGGCAGTCAAATAAGGAACCAAGTATCCAAATGCTAGGGCTTAACAGGAGGCTCCACCTACTTTTTGCAGGATTTGTATCCATTCTCTGAAGACTGGTCGAAGTAATAGCTGATACTACAGCTCTGCACGCATCTCCCATCCTCCATGAAGTAGCCATCTGTGCAGTTAATACACCCATCAGCGCCTGCCCCTGGAAAGCAAGACAAACGCAGGAAACAGAAACAAAACCTCAGGAGAGGTTGCACCAGGAGCTGCTTCTTGCAAAGTTTGTCAAAATGGCATTAATATGTTGCAATTTTAAGAGTTACCATTTATTATCTGTGGTTTTTCTTACATTCTTCAGGAAAAAAACTTTCTCACTTTAAATTGAACCCATTTGCCAAAAATGTCAAATCTCTTTGGAAAGAGGAGGAGATGTCCCTGAGATATTTAAGTTTCTCCATGAGAACAGGATGCTGATGACTGACTTTCGACGTGAATACATGAATGATTTTGAGAGAATATGTAGAGAAATATTTTTCAAGTAAATGCTGGAGAAACATATCAAGTGAATTTGCATGAGTGATGGCTAAAAACAGATAAAAGCCAAACCAGAGCCAGAGGAATAAACGAAAGGACGGGGGTAGAAGATACCAGCACAAGTGGCACAGAAGCGGTGACAGGGCTGACAGTCCTGGCCATTGAAGTACCGTCCATCCTCACAGGCGACGAAACAGCGGGACCCCTGTAGGCTGAAGACACAGACACAGATTGCTGTGATCAGGTCAAGAGGTAATGAATCCCCAGCTCCACAGGTAACAAATATAGTCCCCCCACCCCCCAGAGACCAGCGGATGTGGCAAAGCTTCAGAGCAGGGGAAACAGTCCTTGTACGCTTTTTTTTTTTTCCTCCTGATGCCTCTAATGGGGCTTTGTGCCTATAATGATGTCTGGAGCATACACATGTGCTGCAAGCTTTGGGGACATGCCTCTTAATTGTTAGACTGGCTGACACATTCCTTCTTTGCTCAATATCTTACAGCTTGGAGGTTTTTAAAAGTATTTCTTTGAAAAAAGACAGTCACTTTACCTAACAATATGCCTAACAATTCCCTGATATCCAGTATTCATAAAGTGTACTTTATAAAGACACTTCTTATAAAGTGTACTGACATAAATTTAAAAGCAGTGTCATGATTATAAACACAGTAGGACCACGTGGTAAAATGAATTACAATGAATAAGTGTGCAGAACTAACCCTGCCCACCCCCAGCCCAAACTCCCTGGAGCAGCCTTTTTTGTTTTTAAACGTTTCTGATTTTAGTTTTATTGGTCCCCATCAAAACAACAGAATTCGAATATATTTTTGCCTCTACTTCTTGATGTGTTAATTTTAAACTCTAATGAAGAATTCAACAAAATCACTTACCTTCTCCAAACATCTTAACTTTTCCTAGTTGTCTTATTGTTTAGCATTTCTAGGCATTATTTGTACCATATTTTCTCTAACACTCTTAGATCTTATCTCATGAGTTGCTAGAATGTCAAATGATATTTTTCATAGTCTACAGATTGACTCTTAAAATTAAAAACGGATACATAGAATTTACAACATTTAATATACAAATAGGACTCACTGAATAACTAAATAGTGCAAATGGAACCACACAGAAGGCCATGTAATCCTATGTCACCAAGTAGATGATACTAGACGATGGGTATCTAAGCAACAGGGTCAAGTGGTTTCTATTTTCTAACACTCTTCATATTGCTCGAATTCACATCTTACTTGACTGTGCTTTATATATGGATCACACTAACTTTAAAAAGTTAAAGTGATTTTTCCCTATGCTCATTAAACCACTTTGGAAAGAATAAAAGCAAAGTGGATAAAAAAGAACCCAACGCAGTCCTGTTAACGTTTTAATCCATTTTCTTCCAGTATTTTATGTGTATTTTTCTGTGTTTATTCTTAGCCACTATTTAAAAATTTACAGGTCTCTCGAGGCAAAATGGTCCACTCTAGAAGCCCCTGAGGAAGATGCTCGGAGCCTCAAGGAGATGGAGGCAGCAGAACTGGAAGTGCTCTCCATTCAGAGCTCACTGGCCAGGGACAGCTGTCACTGAAAAAGCCAATGAAAGGAAATCCCTTCCCTTTCTGTAGAGCTGGAAAAAACGACACTGCATCAAATGGATCCTTTTGTGGGTGGAAACAGGACCACCAAAAAACTTACAGAAGTTTTAAAAAAGCTGCCTAGTTTTTCTAATAAAGGACTCGACTCCTGAGACTGGCATTTATTCAGCAGGAGACAGAGGCTGCACTGTGTGAGGAAGGAATGAACGAAGTAGGATGTGCAACAGAGAGCTGTCACCAGGAACCCGGAAGCTCTCTGCTGCTTCAGGAACACAGGGATGGCAGGGCTAACGAAACTGCTGCTCTGAACACCTGGTTCTTTCTGTGATCGACCCGATAGCTTAGACCTGTGCTGGCCCACATGTTCGAGCACTCAGGGCTCCTGAGCGCTTGAAATGGGGCTAGTGTGGCCAAGGGATGGAATTTTAAACTTTACTTAATTTTAATTAATTTCAGTCATAATTTTACAAATTGTCACTTGGTTCAGTTATTGGCAAGATTTTGAGTAAGTCTGGAACAACTTGGCTATATAAAATCTACTTCAACTAAATTTTATAAAATCTAAACAAGTATTTCTCATAAAAAAATTATTGAACGAATTGAGATGTACTTTGGGGTAAAACACACACCAGATTTCGAACAGTTGGTACAAAACCAAAAGAGAAAGTAAAATACCTCACTAAGAGTCTTTCATAGTGATGACATGTTGAAATGATAATATTTCAGATGTATTAGGTTAAATAAAATATTTTATTAAAATTCACCTGTATCTTTTTACTTCTTTTAAATGTGGCTATTGGTATATTTAAAACTAATATATATGGCTCTCATATTTCTATTGGAGAGTGCTGGTTAACTTACTCTATAAAATGTTCCCTAAGAACTATAGGAAATAATCTTGTTCTTTTATTTCTCACATACCAATTATGTGTCAGTTATTGGAATAAATGCCTTGTAAATGTTATCCCAGTTAATCCTTATAATCCAGCAACAGAAGAGTTATTATCACTATTTTATAGACAAGAAAACTAAAGCTCAGAGTGGTTAAGTGACTTGGTCAAAATCACACAGAAAAATAGCAGGGGAGGTCCTGAGGCCACATCTATCTTCCTTCTTTTTTTTTTTTTTTACCCCCCCTTCTTTTTATTATACCAATCTGTTCCTTCTCCAGCAAGCATTAGGAGGCTGACTTGACTAATATTTATCAAGACTGAAGTCTTGAGATGAAAGGTGCTAAGCAAACTAACACCAAATCCATTTATTGAAAAAAAAGAATCGATAATCGATAAATCTAAATAAAAATGGTGTTCCAATTTTAACTAATGTGAAGAATTACTTGAGTGGAAATTTCCTGGGCCCTGCCTATTTCACCTCTGATCAAAGGTGGAAATAAAGGTATATCAGTCCTTAAAAGGGATCGAGCGCAGCAGGATTCTAGCTCCATGTAAACCCAGAGTCCAACCCCTCACTCAGTGCAGGATGTTTGACCCTCTCTATGGGTAGCAAGAGACTAGCAAGTTCATTTGAGCTGCATGATGTTCTCTCACAGTGAATCAACTCTCCGGCTTTAGCAATGAGCAAGTCATCCATTCAAGGAAGACATCTCCAGGTGTTAAATCTCTGTGCATACCATAGCATAATGGAACCAAGCCTGAGGCACTTAAGATAAGAGAATGACTGGCTATATGGAGAGAAATAATAAAGATAAGGGAATAGTTTTCAACCATCAAAGGAATGAATCAGGGGGATTAAACATAATTCATTGGTATTACGTACACAGTAATCCTTGACTGGCACACTGCCGGTCAAAAAGCATGAAGAAAGCCTCTCAAATGGCCATTTTCATTTACCTGTATCTGAGCCATCTTTTCTAAAGAGAATTTTATTTGGTTTATAAACCTTCCTTAGCCAAGATGGCATCTAATATTTCACATATATTGGTAGAGATAATGCAAATAGCAATCAACTGTTTAAATGGGAGTCAAACCAAGGGTAGATGGTAAGAGGGTTATTTATTTATATGTGGGTTTTATTCTTCATTTTATTTATACATTCATACATTGATTAATGATGGGAATATGCTCTGAGAAGTGCATCGTTAGACCCCTTGGTTGCTGTGCGATTAGCATAAAGTCCATTTAACCAAACCTAGATGGTATAGCTTACTACACACCTAGGCTATGTGGTAATAATCTTATGGGACCACCATCGTACATGCAGTCTGTCATTGACCAAAACGTTGTTATGCAGCGCATGACTGTACTGAGGAGCTCCTTGGGCTGTGTTATTTGATGAAATCCTTCACCCTCTTACCTTAACCCATCCCTACATTCTGTACAGTTGTGGGATTCAGTACACGTCTTGCAATTTTCACTGCATTTCCGGCAAAGATTTTTCTCTGTTTAAAAAAAAAATTAACAAAGTTATAAATCAATCAGTCAACTGGATTCCATAAAAGCATGTGGAAATTTCTAATGTTTGCTAATGTAAGCTATAGAACACATAGCCTTGAGTAGAAAACTGCCGGAAAAGCCCCAGATTCAACATTTGTTATCACTTCTTAACAAAGCTACACACAGGAGGAATTGTAGCACTGGGAAATACCTTAGAGATTCCAACCATTTTGCAGACAAGAGAATTACAGCCCACTTAATTCTTAGTTGGATAGTTTATTGGCTTTTTCCCCCTTCTTCCCATTCTCTCTCCCAAACAGGCTTTCCCAACTTCTGACACTGAAAAACTCACGAATGAGGCTGGGCAGCGCCCTATGTCAGGGTCGGGAGGCCATGCTTGCAGCTGTGAATGACCCCTGTGCTCACAGCTTTTAGGACTACTCTGATGAAATGCACTAGAAAGGGAAACTACGTTTAAGATGGCAAGGTAAGGGTTGCTTATTTATTTCTTGCATTGTCTAGAATAGTGCCTTATACTTTATAGCTGCTGTGGAATTGATATAAATGTTACTGTATTTCAGATAATATCTGTATTCTGGTGAATAAAAATGTGTTGATTGAACAAATATACTGAATACAACCTTTCCTGTTTAATACCAAACACAGGTCCCCAGTGGGAAAAAACGGCAAATGCATGATTGTTCTATAGCGAAAAATGGTGATTTGTTACATTAGGTAAGGCATTTTTCCTTAGGTGAAATTTTTCTAGAGACTTGATACTTTCTCTGAGATCAAAGTGGATAATAACCACGTATCTGTGTAGAACTGAATGAAGCTTTGTTCATAGGTTTCTCTTCCTTCATCTACTCTTTAAATGTTGGTATTCTTTAGGGTTCCACAGACGAACACTGCAATTATGGATCCCTTTAAGGACCTCCTGGAGTTCCGTCTCCTTTCTCAAGTCAGATCCCCACGGCACGAAATATGAAATCCTTTACAACCTTCTGGTAGTTATCACATGGTTTCCCCCTCACTGTGTCACTGAGAATACTGGACATGGCACAGGATCTGAGGTCAGATCACCCAGATTTGTGTTCCGCTTTTAGCAGTTCCAGTGGGCAAGTTCAGGGTTTCTGCTCTCCCACTTGTTAGAGATTACAAATGGTGCCTATTTTCAGCTTGTCTCGAGGAGTTAATGAAATTATTCAAGGAGACTGCATGAACTATAAAGCACTGTAAATGTGCTGGCAGTAATTATTAATACTTATGATCACTACATTGTATGTAAACCCATGTACTGAAAGAGAAAACTCTCATAAAAGGCAAAGACACAGAAGGGGAGAGAGGCACAGACCCCTCGTATCAGCAAAGAAATTGCTTGAACAGCCTTCCTTAATTATCCACCTCTCGGGTTCCAGAAAAAGAACTGACTCCCTCAATGATCTTGGTCCTATCATACAGCATCTAGAACCAAATTTCTTTTCCAAGGCTTAGCCTTCTTGATAGAACTTGGAATTTTTTTTTTCAAGGAATACTGCTTATTTCTGCAGATCCCATATGCCCCCTCGCTGCTGCCATTTTCTCCTTTCTCCATCAAGTTGTAGCTCATGTTCCCAATTTTGGGGAAAATAAGAACTACAGGGGAATCCCTACCCACTGCTCTAGAGAGGAGGGTGAGACTCCACCCGCCTCCTAGAGAAATGCCTGCCTGTGAATCAAGGGAGCATTGGACTTCTTAAGGAGCAAGAGTTTCCACTTCAAAATTCTTGCTTGATTTTTTAAAACGACTCTTATTCCTTTAAACTTGGGTTTTCTTCTTTTTTAGGTTGTACAGAAACACGATATCTCAGTGTCATCATATACCATGGTGTGACACACTTCCTAAGACAAATTATCAAGAACTCAGAAATCAGGGGTCGGCCCGGTGGCGCAGAGGTTAAGTTCACACGTTCCGCATCGGCAGCCCAGGTTTCGGTGGCTCGGATCCCGGGTGTGGACATGGCACTGCTTGGCAAGCCATGCTGTGGCAGGCGTCCCACATATCAAGTAGAGGAAGATGGGCACGGATGTTAGTTCAGGGCCAGTCTTCCTCAGCAAAAAGAGGAGGATTGGCAGTAGATGTTAGCTCAAGGCTAATCTTCCTCAAAAAAACAAATAAAAACCTCAGAAATCAAGCAAACGATACCAGAGCACTGTCTAACATTTAGGTGTGCCCAAGGATGATTTAAGTCTCTGGGGAGTGTATCTTTGTCTGTTTAATGATGGTTGATTAGGGCCAGAACTGTGAAGTTACATGTTAATTTACAGATTTTTATTTGGTAAAGTTGCAAATGATTTCTGTCCATTTGAAAAAATAACCCCCCAAATCCCAGTTATATGGCCACGTAGAAGTTAATCCATTTTGTCTCTAACTCGGCAAATGGATTTCATTTTGCCTTTCCTGGTGGACTATAATATCTGACAATCTCTGAACCTATTTATCACCTTGTAGGCTCCCTCATTAATGGGTTAAAGAAGTCTTTGACATAGATTCACCCTACATTTACACGAAAGTCTTCTTTTTTAAACTTTTCGAAAAGTACGCTTTGCTATCATACAGGCCTGGTTCCTTTGACTGGTGTGCAGAAAAGAGCAGGCCTGGCTGTTGTCCTCTGAAAGCCTGCGTGTAAGGTTGGCCCATGGCTAGTATCTGGGAACTAGGATTTCAAGAGGGCTCCCACCCCTCTAACTGATAAGAGTGGCTCATGATGCTTAAACTGTCTGTACAAACAATGTGGTTTACGCTGAGCATCTGCTTTCCTTCTAGGACTCTGGAATTGTGGTTTGTGCCAGGAAGAGGCTGTCTTCGTGACCAGACCCCAATAACAACCCTGCGTGCTGAGACTCACAGGACGTTCCCTGGAAGATTCCATTTCACACGTGTTGTCACAAAGTGTTGCTGGGGGAATTAATGCATCCTCTGTGACTCCCCTTGGAGAAAACTCTTGGAATCTCACGTCTGGTTTCCTCCCGACTTTGTTCCGTGCACCTTTTCCCTCTGCTGCTTTCACTCTGTATCCTTTTGCTGGAATAAGTCATAACTGTGAACACAGAGTACTACAGACTGAGTCTTGTGGGCCCTCCTAGCAATCACTGAATTTGGGGATGAGCTTGAGGATCCCCGGACACAGTTAGTTACAGGCATTTTTACAAAACGATTCTAAATTGTTCTCTTAAAAAAATTGGCTAGATTCTATTTGACATTAAGCAAGTTCTCGATTTCATGGAGGAGGAATATCCCTCCCAAGGTCACTCAAATGAAAACCTTACGTTTCCTCTTTAAAACTCAAATGTTTGAAATCAACTCACTGCTGTCCTGATATGATCCGTCAGGGCAGTGGGTAACACAGCTGTTGGTTTCTTCATTGAGGAAGTATCCATATTTACAGGACAGGCATTGGTCACCGTGGCTCCCAAAGCAGGCCTCACAGTTGGGGGCACACTTTCTGCATCGCTTCTTGTCAGCATGGTAGTGGCCAGGGGGGCAGCTGGACACACAGATTCTGTGTTGTGGAATGATAAGAAAGGCAGCATCATCAGAGACTCAGTCCTCAGCATTCTCTTGGAGGAGCTGAGCAAATAGCTGTTCTCAGTCTCAAAATCCTTTTTAAACCATGATGGTTGATACCACATCCAAAGGGACAAATGCTGTTGGTTAGAACTTTGTCCTTGCAGGGTGCTGAAGTAGCAATGCAGTGACATAATACCAAGTCTACTAAGTAGGACACGTCTTGGTACAAACCAGCTTCCAGTTCCAGTCTTGCTCCTTACAGGAGATAACGGTTAGGAACTGAATCTCAAGAGGAAAATTGTGGTGTTGGGTTGAAGGGAAAATATATGGGAACCCTGATTTTATGCAAAAAGGTCACTAATAAGGGGTTACTTCTATTTTTGTGTGTTTTTTGTCATATGGATCTTGTGTGTGTGTGCTGTCGTGGTGGTGGTTGTATGCTATTGTCTAAATTAATATAAATATATTTAAATTTATGTTGCTTACGCTAAACTTAAAAAAGAAATAACTTCCTTGTTTGACCATAATTGAAGGCCAGGGCTTTATTTATTCATTCAACAAATATTTACTGAGTACCAATTAAGTGTCAGCCATTTTGCTAGACTAGGAGATAATGAGAGGTGCTGAGGTAGCCAAGGGCCTTTCCTTTAAGGAATTTAAATTCCAGCATGGACATAAACAGGAACTGGAACATGTCTGGGTCTGTTTGGGTGACTGGAGTGTGGACACACCACAAGTCAGCTCCCCACAGTGAGTTTTTGCCTAAAGGAGGAGAGAGAAGGTGGCAGAGCCATGAGAGCCATGCCTGGAGGGCATGGCCTCTGCTGGGGCAGTCACTGTTTCACAGCCTTCCCTGTGGACACCTATCTGCACAGCTTGAGGCAGAAGCCAGGGCCTCAGAGGCATGGAGTCCAGGCAGGTCCGCCTCAGTGCCCAGAGTGCAAGAGTGAGGAGGAGCAGGAGCCAGCACCTCTGCTACATCAAGGGCTTGCACACTGGGGAATGTGGGCAAGCATCTCTTTTGCTGGTACACAGGCATTTTCAAGAAGGGCAAAGGCAGCTATGGCAACAAATGTCAATGGGAGGGAAACATCTGGAGGAGAAGACCAGGCACGTGCATAGCCAGTCCCTTCCCACCACCCTTCCAAATGCAAGAAAAGACATTTGCAGTTTCATAGCATACAGGTACATTTTCTGCTTTGCAATTCAGTATTGGTTTCACCATTTTGAATTACATGAGGAGGCGGCAGGCTTGTGCAGCAGCATCTTTTCTGTGCTTAGGTCCTGCTGGGAGAACACAGGAAGATGCTGCACAGGGGCACTTCGTGGGACATCCCAGGGGGACCTGACTTGGCTTCTCTCTTACCTGGTGTTATTTTTTAGCTTGTAGTAGTAGTGCAGACAGTCATTGCAGTGGTCCGGTCCTGGTCCATCACAGCCCACCTCACTGCACTCAGGGTCGCAGGGACCTTCCCAAAAGAAATCAGAACAACACTTGGAAAAGATGATTTTAAAGCAGATTGGTTTTACCTTAAATTTGGTATAAAATAAGACTTTTTTTTTCCCTAATGCAGTGAGAGTTTCTTTAAGATGGAGAAATAGGGGCCGGCCCTGTGGTCAAGTGGTTAAGTTCGCGCGCTCTGCTTCGGTGGCCTGGGGTTTCCCTGGTTCAGATCCTGGGCGCGGACATGGCAATACTGCTTGTCAGGCCACGTTGAGGCGGCGTCCCACATCCCACAACTAGAAGGACCCACAACTAAAATATACAACTATGTATTGGGGCGATTTGGGGAGGAAAAGCAGACAAAAAAAAAAAGAAGACTGGCACCAGTTGTTAGCTCAGGTGCCAATCTTTAAAAAAGGAAAAAAAATAAATAAAAAAGATGGAGAAATAATGTTCAATGTGGCCGTAAGCCCACAGATGAACTCTTGACTTTTTTGGGGAAAACCTCAATTACCTAAGTATCAAGAATGTAAATTCTATTCATGGTCTGGTCTTCAAAGTACATGTGGCTGCCTTGTGGGAGATAATATTTCGGAATTCAAACGTGCAATGCCACTGTAGCAATTTGGAAAAAAAAACTGCAATTAAATATACATAATGATAAAAATGTCAGATTTATAGAAAAATGAGAAGCTAAACTGTTGAAAGAAAAGAAGAAAAGGTGATTATTCAATGCCTGAACCGGATTGCCTGTTTCATTCAAGGTCATTAAAGCCACTGAATACCTCTGAGATACCATAGGCAGCAAGAAACATCATTATGGCAGCTGGCACAAGCTTATCAGCATCTAGTCTTGGATTACAATGCAGGTGCTTCAGGCACAGATAATAGATTTAAAATTGCATCCTACCAATAGGCCAATGGGCAACTCAACAAACGAAAACTACACATAAATTTAAAAAACGCGAACAGGCTTAAGGAATTCCAGACCTTGGATGAAGGTTCCTAATCTCTCTTGTTACATACTCTCTGGTATAGAGGTAGAGAAAATGCAGTCAGGGGGCAAAAAAAAACACGCCAGAAAGATGGAGCTATTTTATGATTGATGAAATTCTTTCAATGACATGGGCTAGTTACAGAAGTTTTGCTTGCATGAACTAATGTCCTTTTTCCTTTTTCTTCATGTCTGGGGGCATTTGGTCTCATAATCTTCAAGCTCTTTCCCACTGACAAATTCATATGATTTTAACTAGCAATAAACACACTGCATGAAATATACAAACAGTAAGCCAAAGGTGCCAGAAATGGCTTGAACCATATTTATTTTAATAGAAAGGATTTAGTGTTGAACCTTGGTCTCATGTAGTCATTACAGGACTATGTTGTACAATTACTCAATCACAAAATGGTAGAACTGGGGTAGAATGACTTAGAGAAAAATCTAGTAGTCAAACATCCTCATTTTACCTATAAGAAAACAGATGTTCCAACAGTTACAATGGCTTGCCAGGCATCATACAGCTAGGCGAGTTGGGATCAATATATGCCCTGATTCTTAGTCCAGGTCTCCTGCTTAGATGTAGCTAATCACGTACTAGAGATGCCCTTTTGATCAGAATGGAAATGAGTCATTTCAAAATGCTACAGACTTGAAATATATTTCTGATTAATTGCAAGAGTCATTTGACAGAACTGTTTATCTCTATTTCCCCTAAAGCTTTAAAATTGATCTCTAAGTTAAATTCCAGTTAGTACAACTTGGGACATTTTAGCTGTCTACTGTGGTACACAAGGAGAGAGTGTCTCTGCTGTTTATGGGTTGAAGTTCAGCCAGCTGTGGGTCCCTCAGTCCCTGGAATTCGATGAAACAGTACAGGGATCTGGTTATGATAATGCCATCTGTGCTTCTAGACAGGCTGACTTCTTAATGAAGGTGAAAATCACAGTTCCGAAGAAAAGGAGTCATGGGTGGCCCTAAATTTTCACCAGATGATTTCTACAATTAAAATAGCCCAAAAAACATGTATTCTTGATATGTGCCAAAGGGCTCTGTATGGCAAGTTCACATGCTGTGCTGTTTTTTTTTTATAATCTTAAACTGTCCCAGATGCAGTTTAGCATTTTGGGCTGCAGGGTAATAATGAAATAATTGTCTTTCTTCTCTCCCAAGTGCCAATGTGGACATTTTGGAGATGTAATGAGAAAAACCACGAGGATGAACAACTGTTCGCTCAGAATTTTAACAACACCAAAATTTGAATTGGAAACATACCACAAGGTACATAACAATACGTTACTATTATGGTCCATTTATGGTTTTGGATATATTTTCTCCTATCAGAGAAGGCAAATGATTTGCTAGTTACAACATGAATAGTAATGTTACAAGCTCAAAGCAAAATAAGACAAAATCTAACACAATCTAGCTCTGGTTAGCTCAATTAGTCTGAATTATCCAAGCTTTTTATTGACTCTGGGATACTGCCCGTCTAGAATAAAAGGAACCACATGCATATTTAAGATAGTCTGTGATGATGATTAATGAAGTAGTTTTATCTTCAGTATTGAGAAAAAGAATCTCAGAGAGCTGCAGGAAAAAAAAAAAAATTCTCTCTAAAGACACATTAAGCTGCTCTTTACAGATAGTTCTCCATTAGGAGAAACTTTGTTCATAAGTGTTACATATTATATCCCAGAAGCATGGAATGCTCGAAGTGGTAGCCAGTGCAATACGACAGGAACCAGAAATACACTAAGAAGGAGAAAAAAATTTTTACAGATGATATGGTTACAGTACCTAAACTCCCCCCTGGCCCCCAGAACAGCTCTAAAACATATAAATTAATAAGAGAGTTAAGCAAAGTGGACAGATATAAGTATGCAACAGTCAATAAATTTCCTCAATACCAGCATATAGTGGTTAGAAAATATGGAATATTTTCCTTTACAATAGCAACAAGACTCAAAATACTTAGGAATAACACTAATAAGAATAAAACTACATAAAATTAAAAGATTTCAGTAAATGAGACATGGTCTATGTTTTGGATGGAAAGATCATATATTGTAAAAACAATTCTCATGAGATTGCATGTAAATTCAAATTAAATTACAATGGGATTTTTAAAGGGAGACCTAAGAATTTCTATGAAAACAAGAAGCAGATGTTTAGCAGATATTAAAATATATCATGAAATGAAAGCAAATAAAACAGTGTGGGTGCTACTTGTTTAAGAATTATTACATTGATAAATCAGAAAGGTGGTACTAGCAGAGACCCTGGCAATAAGAACTTACTATACTGTTATAAAGGAAAGATCTTAAACTAATAAAAGAAGGATAGTAACTCAGCCAATGATATTAGTCTATTTGGAAAATAATTAAAAAGAGAACTTCTTTTTACACTACATATCATAAACCAAAATAAGTTCCAGATAAATTAATGGCCAAATGTAAAAATCAGAGATTACAAAAAAATGCATGTGAACAGTTAGCTGATTTTAAAGGATAAAACTTTTGTAAAAAAAAAAAATCGCAAATGTTAGTATCTGAAACTATAAACCTTACCCTCCAATTTTCTGTCAAAACAACACAACACAAAGCAAAAACTACATTCCAGCAACAAGTGATAACTGAGAAAATGTTTTCAACAAATATGAGACAATGTGAGAGACAATAACATACTAGGAATTCTTATAAATAGATAAGAAAATTGCTGCTACTTTGAATAGCAAATGGGTCAAAGACAGTTATATTTAATTCACAGCAGAGCTTCAGAGAAAAAATGTTTAGATTTACTAGCAATCAAAGCTATAAAAATTTAAAGCGTTCTTTTCTTTCTTTTTTTTTTTACTTTTTTCTTTCCACTCAGTGCTGGCAGGAGTGAGTGCAGTAAACACTCACACAGCTGGTCATAGTGTAGACTGGTACATCTTGTCTGGAAACAATGTGACAAAATGCATCCAAGCCCTGAAACTGATGATTCCCCTTGATGCAGTAATTCTCAGAATAGAACTCTATTCTAAAGAAATAAATAAAGATATAGACAAAGACTGAAATACAATATGTTCATCCAAACCTTGTTTAAAACGATGTAAAACTAAGCAAACTGCACATCCCAGATTACGGATTATATATATTAACGGTATAATCATAGGATGGACTATTACGTTGCTTTTTATATATGTGTTCTAAAGATATTTGACAATAGGAAAATATGCTCACAATAATATCTTTAATAAAAAAAGATATGAAAACTCTAAATATAGCATGGTTTTAGCTTTGTAGAAAAAACATGGATGTTGGAATATATGAATACCACACATATAAATATTTGGTGGGTATAGAAGACGGAAGAAAATATATCAAGTCTAAGCAGAAGTTGATCTCTGCATGGTGGGATGATGCATGAGCTTTCTTTCCTTAGCCTATGTCCCTGCTGGGAGCCAGCTCACCTGGATAATCCTCTGTACCATAGTCATCTGTGGGGTCTTCAACTCGGCTATAGCGGACACGTTCCACTTTAGGAAACTCGTTGGTTGGCGAGTACGGCTGCACGGAAGTGCCATAGAGGACCAAAGACCATTCTTTCAATTTACCTTAGAAAACAATAGTAAAACCACAGCATGACCAAACATTCACTCTTCCACTATGTAATTTCTTTAATAACTTCTCACCTAAGAAAAAGCAACAGGAGAAGAATTGTGGGAAGCAGATTCATATGAATCATCGCATCAGATTCAGGGCTAGAAATGCACATTTTCCACTGTCTGCATAATTAACCATTTAATAATTCACACATCAGATATTTACTGAGCACTGACTACAGGATAGGCTTTGATTTAACAAGCATTTATAGCAAGACTGAGAAACAAACTCATGTCAGATGGCTGGATCAAGGGTTGAATTTCAAATTATGGATATTTAAGGGGATCCCAGAGTTTTACAGAGGATTTTGTTTTTCTAGGTATCAGAGTCTTATTTGAGGTTTTTTCATTTTCATTTTTAAAATTTTGGCATTATCTGATTTGCTTATCAATAAATAGACCAAAACAACTACTTTGTTCCACCTGATTCCTGAATCAGTCATTTAGTCTTAAGAATACATCACTATTTTATATTACCTGATAGACCTGTGCTGTCCAATGGTAGCCATTAGACATATTTGGCTATGTAAATTTAAGTTAACTAAAATTTAAAAATTCACTTCCTCAGACACACTAACCACATTTCAAGTGCTCAACAGCCATATGTGGCTAGTGGCCACCATAATGAAAGCACAGATACAGAACACTTCCACCATTGCAGAATGTTCTACTGGACAGTGCTTCAGTATAGCATTTTCTGGTCAAGGGTTCCTTAGACATGAGGCAAGTGTTTTACCTCCCTTGGGTGGCATGCTCACAAGGAACATTTTACTTTAGTTTAGCCCTCATTTATTCATTTATTTCTCAGCTTTACAAAACTAACGTCTTTAATGCAAAAAGTAAACCAAAAACTACCTCTAGCTCATTAAGCTTAGTAAGATTCATATCAAAAAGAACCAACATGGAAATATACTGGTAGGAAGGCAAGCGCGCCCCCCCCCCCCCCCCCCCCCCCCCCCCCCAGCCGACCTTAGAACCCCTCCTCCTCTAGGCCTAATACTTAGAATCCAAACATGGTCAAGATTAGGGTTCTGCCACAGCCCAGAGAGTAGTGAACTTCATCTGTCAGCTAATTCATCTATTAGTATCTATAATCACCATCAAATTGATGCTTATTTTTCCAGGTGCTTACTACACTCTGAGTAAGTTTTATCCCAATTCAATGTTCACAACAACTGGGAGGTAGGTACTTGCATTCCCAATACACAGATGAGGAAACTGAGGCACAGAGGTTGATAACCTTCCCAACAACAGTAAGAAGACAGACTAATATTAAAACCTATTCTAGGGGCTGGCCCAGTGGTGTAGCAGTTAAGTCCATGTGCTCTGCTTTGGTGGTCTGGGGTTCGCAGGTTCAGATCCCAGGCACAGACCTACACAATGCTCATCAAACCATGCTGTGGAGGCATCCCAGATACAAAAAGAAGGAAGATTGGCACAGATGCTAGCTCAGGGAGAATGTGCCTCAAGCAAAAAACTGGAGGATTGGCATAGATGTTAGCTCAGGGAGAATCTGCCTCAAGCAAAAAACTGGAGGTGTGGCAGCAAATGTTAGCTCAGGGCCAATCTTCCCCAAAACCATTCTGGGGCTTTCAGTTTAAGATGGAAATGTAGGAAGATCCTGAATTCACCTCCTCCAATGGATGCAACAAACCTACAGCTACATATGGAACAATTTCCTCTGAAAAAACCTCCAAAACTAGCTGAGCAACTCCTACACATTGGGTGAAAGAGAAAAAGCCCAATCCAAGTGGGTAGGAGTAGCTGACACATAATCTCACCACAACCCCCTTGGTGTGGTGACCCACAATCAGGAGGGAACTAAGAACCTGGAGTTTCTTCCTGAGGAGCAACGGGTTTGAAACCAATATTGATCATTCCAACTTTTAAGACTTGCACCTAAGAGACAAATCCCCCAAATACTTAGTTTTGAAAGCCAACAGGACTTGTGTCTATGAGACCCATAAGGCTATCATGACCTGAGAAAGAGTTTTTAAAGATTTTATTTTTCCGTTTTTTCTCCCAAAGCCCCCAGGTACATAGTTGTATATTTTTAGTTGTGGGTCCTTCTAGTTGTGGCATGTGGGATGCTGCCTCAGCATCGCTTGATGAGCGGTGCCATGTCCATGCCCAGGACCCGAACTGATGAAACACTGGACTGCCTGCAGCGGAGCGCACGAACTTAACCACTCGGCCATGGGGCCGGCTCCCTGAGAAAGAGTTTTTAAATATTTTGTGGAAGAGGCTTTTCGTTTATCTCATAGCACTGGTCTGAGGGGCAGGTATCTAATTTAACACACATCTAGGGACCTACTGAAATACTCTCCAAAGATGGAGCCTGGTGCTCTTCCTCTGCCTCACTACAACTCACTGGTATCTCCTGGAAAGGAGCTTGTACACTCATCTGGTGCCTCGATTCTTGCCATTGTCACCCAGGGAACACATCTGCATCACCTGGCTCTGGTGGCCAGTGGGACTAATGCCTGCATTCCCACAGGAATGTATATATTGACATGCTTTAAAAGATGCTGCCTGAGGGTCTGGTTTCCAATCAGTCTGAATCTAGGTGCTAAGTGAGATCCTCCCTTTTGGGACACTGATAGGTCTTGACATGCCCTCAACTACCAGGATACACTCAAAATAGGCTGCTTGGACAATCACAGAGGTTTGACAGACAGCCAAGAGCTAGAGCAAGGTTAATAAGAAGGTTCATCTCCTACATGAGGCCACTCCTTCAAGACTGGGAGATGTAGCTGTTTAATGCATAGAAATCAACACAGGGAGTCAAGAAAAATGAAGAGACAAAGGAATATGTTCCAAAGGAAAAAACAAGATAAAATCTCGGAAAAAGATCTTAATGAAGTGAAGAGAAGTGGTGAAGAGTTCAAAATAACACTCAAAAAGACACCCGACAAGCTTGGGAGAAGAATGGATGAACAAAATGAGAACTTCAACAAAGAGATAGATAATATGAGAAAGTACCAAACAGAAGTTATAGAGCAAAGAATACAATACCTGAACTAAAAAAATTCTCTAGAGGGGTTCAACATCAGACTAGAGAAGCAGAAGAAAGGAACAGTAAACTCAAAGACAGGGCAGTGGAATTCACCCAATCAGAGCAACAAAAAGAAAAAAGAATTTTAAAAAGTGAAGATAGCTTAAGAGACTCATGTGACAACATCAGTGGGCCAACATTAACATTACAGGGGTGCCAGAAAGAGAAGGGTGAGAGAAAGGGGCTGAAAACTTATTGGAAGAAATAATAGCTGAAAACTTCCCTAACCTGGGAAAGGAGACAGAAATCCAGATCAAGAAAGCCCAGAAAGTTCCAAGTAACAAGAACCTAGAGACTCATACCAAACTCATTATAATTAAAGTGTCAAAAGTTAAAGACAAGGAGAGAATCTTAAAAGCTGAAGGAGAAAAATAACTTATTGTGTACCAGAGAACCTTCATAAGACTGTAGCAGATTTTTCAGCAAAAACTTTTCAGGCCAGAAGGGAGTGGAATGAAATATTCAAAATGCTGAAAGCAAAAAACTGCCAATCAAGAATACTCTACCTCGCAAAGTTGTCATTCAGAACTGAAGGAGAGATAAAGAGTTTTCCACATGCACAAAAGCTAAAGATGTTCATCACCACTACACAGACCTTACAAGAAATGTAAAAGGGACTTCTTTAAGCTGAAATGAATGGGCATGAATAAATAACAGGAAAACATAGGACAGTATAAGACCACTGGTAAAGGTAAATATACAGTAAAATTTAAAATAATCTAATGTTGTAAAGGTGGTAAGTTAACCACTTATAAAGCTAGCATGAAAGTTAAAAGACAAAAGTAGTAAATATAACTACAATAATTTGTCAAGGGATATATAATGATAAAAAGATGTAGGGGGCTGGCCCTGTGGCCAAGTGGTTAAGTTCACACGCTCCACTTCGGCAGCCCAGGGTTTTGCCAGTTTGGATCCTGGGTGCAGACATGGCACCGCTCATTAGGCCATGTTGAGGCGGCATCCCACATCCCACAACTAGAAGGACCCATAACTAAAATATACAACTACGTACTTGGGGGATTTGGGGAGAAAGAGCAGAAAGAAAAAAGATGTAAATTGTGCATTCAAAAACATAAATGAGAGGGGGAGTAAAAATGTTGAGCTTTAGAATGCATTCAAACTTAACTTATTTTCAACTTAAAATAGGCTGTTATAAATAAAACTTGTTATATGTAAGCCTCATGGTAACCACAAAGCAAAAACCTATGGTAGATACACAAAAGATAAAGAGAAAGGAATCTAAGCATACCACTACAGTAAATCATTAAATCACAAAGGAAGAGAGCAAGAGAAGAAGAAAGAAACAGAGGAACTACAAAAGAGCTGGAAAACAATGAACAAAATGGCAAAAAGTACATACCTATCAATAATCACCTTAAATGTGTATGGACTAAATTCTCCAATCAAAAGACATAGAGTGGCTGAACAGATGAAAAAACAAGACCCAACTAGTCATCTATATTCTGCATACAAGAGACTCACTTCAGATGTAAGGGCACACATAGACTAAAAGTGAAGGGATGGAAAAAAGTATTCCATGCAAATGGGAACCAAAAAGAAAGCTGGTGTAGCTATACTTATATCAAACAAAATAGACTTTAACACAAAGACTATAATCAAAGACAAAGAAAGTCACTACATAATGATGAAAGGGTCAATCTAACAAGAGGATATAACATTTGTAAGTACTGATGAACCCAACATAGGAACACCTAAATACATAAAGAAAATATTAACAGACCTAAAGGGAGAAATAGACATAAATACAACAATAGTAGGGGACTTTACTACCCCACTTACCTCAATGGATAGATCATCCAGACAGAAAAACAATAACGAAACATTGGCTCTAAATGACACATTAGACCAAATGACGTTAACAGCCATATACAGAACA